CACCAATACCCCAGAGGAAAAAGGCTCAAAGGCAGACCTAGGTTTAGATGGATGAATGATGTGGGAAAAGATCTACAACTGAAAATCCAAGCATGGAAAAGAAAAGCATTAGTTTAGTCTGAGCGGAAGGAAGTAGTGAGGCAGGCCAAAGCCCCACATGGGCTGTAGCGCCACAGTGATGGATGGATGGATGTACTGACTTACCACATCACTGTACTAACGTACCACCTCGCTGTACTGTCTTATCACCTGCAAACCAATCAAATTAAAATATAGCCCGATGAAATAAAAAAATACATTTTTTAAAAAAAATATATAATTTAAAAAATAACTGTTTGCGTAATCGGTGCGCCAAAACTCGGTATGATGGTGCCATGAATGCGCCCTGACTCAGACGCCCAAAATAAACTAATTTCATTTTTATTTTGACATTGCTTTTGGCGCCACCAGCGAGGCGAACTTTGCAGTCTTCCCTGCCTAAGTTTCACCGCTGTTGGTGTGCAATTTCGCTGTTTGACCCACTGCTTGGTGGTGAACACGTCCGTGTGTGGCAGGAAGCACTAATGGCGTCTTGTTCCAAGATGGTGGAAATCACAAACCTTATACCCACGCCGTGCCATGCAACAAATTATCTCCGATACTCTCAGCACCAGCAGCTCGGAAGGTCTGTCTTTGCAACTGATACTCCTGCTCATTATTCAACTCATGGGGATGATGCTTAACTCAACGGTTCTCTTTGTCATCTGCAGGCGGTACAAACGTATGGAGCTCAAGAGACGTTACATTTTGCTCATCAATCTTCTCCTGTGTGACTTCATCCTTCTCTTCTGGGTGATGCCATCGACGGCAAGGCTATTGTCCTGCAGCTCTCCTGAGTGTCTGTCCGCCGTTCTGAGCACAACCGTGTGTTCCATAACGGGCTTCTTGTTCCAGTTCACTTACATCTGCGGCGTCTTCACCCAGGCGCTGCTGGCGCTGGACAGAGCCCTGAGCACCGTTGAGCCCACATTGTTCGTGACGTACATGACGACCAAGGTGTACGCGTCTGCGCTGGTGTTCTCGTGGACGTTTTCCGGCGTGCACGCGCTGATCCCGCTCGTGCCGTCGGTGTCCGGGGTGTCGTACATCTTCAACGATCACCTGAAGCGATGCTCCCACCCTTTCAACAACGCCTGCTGGTATGAGAACTACATCACGTTCCTGGTCCAGTGCCTGTTGGCCCCTCTCATCCTAGTCTCTTACGTGTACATGATTTACAAAATCTGGAGGCTCAGTCTGCGGATGAAGTCCACTGTTTCAAAAAACGTGAAAGGAAGAAACGTAACCGTGAGCGGACTGGATTTACAAGTCCCAGCGTCCAAGCAGTGGCTGCTGACGTTTAAAAGTAGTCTGGACATGCGGTCAATGTCCAAGCCCGTTCAAGCCCGTGGCGCTGGTGACGCGGTAGACTCTTTCAAATACAAGAAATCCCAGATCTCCATTCTCCCGCTCACAGCCAATCAAAGCTCACAGTTCAAAACAGTCACAACCGAGGTCGTCATCGAAGATCCGGAGATCAGAGAGTTTCGTCCCCTTCCGCGGGAAGTCGTCAATAAAGAAACCCAGACGTCAGAAGTGTCGAGAGTGAGCTTCTCCGAAATGAGTGACGTGTCGTTCTTCGAAACCCAGCAGGGGCACACCACGATATCCGTATCCGGAGACGGAAACGATACGACCATCCGAGACTTCTCGACCAATATGGTCAGCGGGATCAACTTCATCCCTAGCGACGACTACGACTTAAAAGGATTTATTCTGACTCAGATGCCGAGTCCAGAAGTCCCAGAAACCAACAACGCCTCCGCCTTTGGAAGCTTCGGCTCGTTGAACATCACGACAGACTTTTACCTGATCGACGCTAAAATTTTAACCAGCGAAAAGCACCCGCCGATCACTGGCCGCCGTGGCGTCGCTCTGATGGACAAGGCCATGAGGAAATCTTTGCACCGCGGTTTGTCCCTACTTTTCATCGTGTACAGCTGCTCGCTGCCGTACGCCATAGCCAGCAGGTGTCCTCGCGGTGACATGTCCTTCACCTTCAGTATAGCGGCCGTGTGGTTATATTACAGCTCGTGTATCTGGTACCCGTTGGTCTATTTTTTCTGGCACGATAATTTCGTCCAGCATCTTCGAATATCGATAAGCACTATTTAAGACGTATTCGAATATCGATAAACAGACATATTCGGATAAACATTTTTAAGACATATTCGAACACGATAAGCGCTATTAAGATATCGATTCGCGTAGGAACGTGTTTTCTGAAAGGTTTGCTAAAAGTCCCAAAGCCAAGAGCTCAGAAAATTGTACTGAAAAACGTGACTTAAGCAGGTTAAGTGTTAGGACGAGCTTACGAGCACCTTGGGCCAATGTCAAGGAATCGTCAACAATCTGGAGCCAGAAAAAAATGAATTCTTGATGTTATGTGTGAACATTTTTCCGACAATGGCATTTAAAATATCAACATTTCCTAAAAAAAAATATTGATACATGGTTTCATGATTTGAAAAAAAAAACAACAACAACATTAATATTTGACAAATTCTCTATTTCACATTCCTGAATTCCATCTGCTCAGCTCCGTTTATGTCCTTCTTCTCTATCAGCCTCATTGTTTCCTGTTACATTCCAGATAACACTAATCACCACTAATCCAGCGTGACCGCACAGCTTAGAAACAATTTAACATATTTTACTACTTCGATTTTCTCCACTGAGTTAATCCTCCATCGAGTCTCATTTGTCTCCCTCGAGTTTTACTTGTCCCTCCCGGTTGCCACTTGTCTCCCCCGGGTCTCAATTGTCTCCCCCGGGTCTCACTTGTCTCCCCCGGGTCTCACTTATCTCCCCCGGGTCTCACTTGTCTCCCCCGGGTCTCACTTGTCTCCCCCGGGTCTCACCTGTCTTCCCCAGGCCTCACTTGTCTCCCCCGGGTCTCACTTGTCTCCCCCGGGTCTCACTTGTCTCCCCCGGGTCTCAGTCCATACATTAGACAGTCTATAGACTAGAGTCTAGACAGTCTGTAGATGAGACCAAAATTATCTTAAGAATGTCCTTAACACAGATGACCACAAGATAGTCTGCCCATAGACTAGACCAACCATAGATGATCTTTTAATACTCTGATTTTGATGCAACACAATAAATAATGTTGTTAATTCATGATACAACTAAACATGTTGTTTTAAGTCTTTACAAATTTACTTTTAATGGCACTCAAAACATTTATTTTCTGGAAGAACATTGCGGGAATAAATTACATTTTGAATTAGCGATTAACGGAAAGCTTCATCTAAACGTGAAGTCATCTATTTAGTTTATGTAATAATGGATTGATTTATATATTTAGTCTTAGTTTTAAAATATTCTTTTATTTAAAAAAATTTTTTTAGTGACAAAACATTCAAAACCTATAAAATTAAGTTATAAAAGTTAAGAGACATAACTCTGTCAGAAATAGAGGTTACAAATAATTTCATGGGTTAATTACCTTGTATCAAATTTATTCTTCCAGCCAAACGAGTGGTCATAAAAAGATTTCAAAGATACTGCATTTATCTCCGGCATTGCTGTAAGACTTGAATTTGTTTTGATGAAATTAATCGTCTTTAAGATACATTGTATGGCTTAGATAACAGTTATGCTAGGATACAAGACGTCATCCGATAGAGAATGTCCGAAGCAAGACATTCTCCGATACAAGACCAGACAGAAAGAAGTCATTCTTTGATACAAGACAGATCAGAGACAAGACATTCTCAGATACAAGACCAGACAGAAGCAAGACATTCTCTTATACAAGACCAGACAGAAACAAGATATTCTCTGATACAAGACCAGACAGAAACGAGACATTCTCTGATACAAGACCAGACAGAAGCAAGACCAGACTGAAGTAAGACAATCTTCGATACAAAACCAGAAAGGGATGGGGCATGGTTTGATATTAAATCATATAGAGACACATATAAAGACACGTATAAATTCACGTATAAATACACGTATAAATACACGTATAAAGACACGCATAAAGAACGTATAAAGACACATATAAAGACACATATAAAGACATGTATAAAGACACGTATAAATACACGTATAAAGACACGCATAAAGACACGTATAAAGACACATATAAAGACACGTATAAATACACGTATAAAGACACTTATAAAGAACATATAAAGACACATATAAAGACACGTATAAAGACACGTATAAAGGCACACGTATAAAGACACGTATAAAGACACAGATAAAGCCATGCATAAAGACACATATAAAGACACGTATAAAGACACGTATAAAGACACGTATAAAGCAATGTATAGAGACACGTATAAAGGCACGTATAGAGACACGTATAAAGACACATATAAAGACAAGTATAAAGACAAGTATAGAGACACGTATAAAGACAAGCATAAAGACACAAACAAAGACACATATAAAGACACGTATAAAGACACGTATAGAGACACGTATAAAGACAAGCAAAAAGACACATATAAAGACACATATAAAGACACATATAAAGACACGTATAAAGACACGTATAGAGACATGTATAAAGACATGTATAAAGACACATATAAAGACACATATAAAGACACGTACAAAGACACGCATAAAGACACGTATAAAGACACGTATAAAGACACGTATAAAGACACATATAAAGACACGTATAAAGACACGTATAAAGACATGTATAGAGACACATATAGAGACACGAACAGTGACACTCACAAAATATTGTTAAAAATGAATAACAACAACAGTATGTACGATTTCTGATGTATTTCCGATACCATAATTCACATCTATACAATGAGGTGTTCACCAATTTATCAATTTAAAATGAGACTCCAATAATCATTCAAACTAGACTCAATTATTTCATATAATTTTGATCATACAACACCATACATACTGTGAAGAAAATATTTTTATGTACATATATGATATATATTCAAACATGTATATTGTACATATTTATATACATTTGTACATCTGTATGAACTTACATTTTACTTTAAGATATTCACCATTTGTCAAGTGAGGTGTGAGGTTTCTACAAATAAAAACTATACGGCACGGACATCATAGAACTGTGGGCAGAAGGTCTGTCAGTGGTGAAGAGAGTTCTTAGGTTATATGGACTAAGCTTATGTCACTGTTGTTGTAGTATTTCACAAGGACTTCGGTAAAACAATCTGACTGTTGAAGAGTGCATTACACATGAAGCAGTCCAAGTGTGTCTGGTTACACATTAAGCAGAGTAAGTGTGTCTGGTTACACATGAAGCAGACTAAGTGTTTCTGGCTACACATTAAACAGAGTAAGTGTGTCTGGTTACACATGAAGCAGACTAAGTGTGTCTGGCTACACATGAAGCAGACTAAGTGTGTCTTGGTAAACATTACTCAGTCTAAGTGTTTCTTTTTACACATGACTCAGTCTAAGTTTGTCAGGTTACACATCAAGACTAACTGTGTCTAGTTACACACGAATCGGTCTAAATGTGTTATACTCGTTTTTAAACATCTAGACCGTGCCTTCTAAGACAATCGTGATCGGTGTTCAATGATCGGTGTTCAATGATCGGTGTTCAATGATCGGTGTTCAATGATCGGTGTTCAATGATCGGTGTTCAATGATCGGTGTTCAATGATCGGTGTTCAATGATCGGTGTTCAATTTTCGACTTCTTCTTGAGTAGCGTGATCTTTTTTGGTTATCTCAAATTTGGGGTCATAAGTTAGATGCCTAGAAAGATCATCTGAACTTTGGGGTCACATGTGTGGATCCTATAAAGATCATCTCGACTTTGGGGATCCCAACATTAGATAGATCATCGCAACCTAGGGGTCACACGTTAGGATCATAGACAGATCAGTCACAACCAAAGAAGCACCATCAACTGGTGCTTTCTTCTGAAATGTTAACAAAAACTCGTTCTTCTGATCATGTGAAGAATGTAGCACGCCATAACTTATGTTGAAATTGACGTAGAGCGCCTAAGGAGTGACGTAGCCCTCTCAAAAGTATGACGTAGCACTCTCAAAAGTATGACGTAGCACTCCGTAAAGAACGCCCTAGCTCGCCACGTCTTTTAGCCCCATACACAGCATAAGAAGTTCATCCTTGATGTGTGTTCAACTTTTGAACATGTCACACAGTAGCTTCTCCATCGGCGTGTTGCCTATCGTCCTGCCAAAGAACAGTCTCTCGATTCTGTCTGATGGCACGTAGCGTAGTGTAGGGAGCACCAGAAGGAGTCTGCCAAACCTGAGGGGAGAGAGCATTGGTGGGGTTAGTGAACCGGAAGACAAGTACAACGTTGTCCTGTTCAAGTGGTTAGCATAGAATTAATTTAACTTTGGTTGTGTTTGTAAAAAATATATGAGAATTTGAGATGTGGATTAAAGAGATATGGATGTGCAGTATGTGGATGAGAGTTATATGGATGAGCGGGATGTGGTTGAGAGTTATATGAATGAGAGGGATGTGGATGAGAGTTATATGGATGAGAGGGATGTGGATGAGAGAGATGTGGATGAATGGGATGTGGATGAGAGAGCTATGGATGAGAGGGATGTGGATGAGAGAGATGTGGATGAATGGGATGTGGATGAGAGAGATGTGGATGAGAGGGATGTGGATGAGAGAGATGTGGATGAATGGGATGTGGATGAGAGAGCTATGGATGAGAGGGATGTGGATGAGAGAGATGTGGATGAGTGGGATGTGGATGAGAGAGATGTGGATGAGAGGGATGTGGATGAGAGAGATGTGGATGAGAGGGATGTGGATGAGAGAGATGTGGATGATTGGGATGTGGATGAGAGATATGGATGAGTGGGATGTGGATGAGAGAGATATGGATGAGTGGGATGTGGATGAGAGAGATATGGATGAGTGGGATGTGGATGAGAGACTTATGGATGAGTGGGATGTGGATGAGAGAGATATGGATGAGTGGGATATGGATGAGAGAGCTATGGATGAGTGGGATGTGGAAGAGAGAGTATGGATGAGAGGGATGTGGATGAGAGAGATATGGATGAGTGGGATGTGGATGAGAGAGATATGAACGAGTGGGATGTGGATGAGAGAGATGTGGATGAGAGGGATGTGGATGAGAGAGATGTGGATGAATGGGATGTGGATGAGAGAGACATGGATGAGAGGGATGTGGATGAGAGAGATATGGATGAGTGGGATGTGGATGAGAGAGCTATGGATGAGTGGGATGTGGATGAGAGAGCTATGGATGAGTGGGATCTTAATGAAACGGTTGTGGATGAGCAGGCTGGACTTAACAAAGATGTTAACGATTAATGACGACCCCCCCCCCACACCTGAAGGGTTGTGTCGGGTGTTGTCCACGGATGTGTTGACCCAACATGACCTGGGCCTGATCCTGCAAGCTCTCCACTTGGTGCGGGTCCTTCAGACTCCGAGTGTCTGGAATAGAAACGGTCAAACAATGTATTTGAACATTTCAGCTGAAACGAAAGCTAATAACGTATTCCAAATATAACCTCAAAGTACTTAAATATTTCCTATGATATTCCTGATCCATTTAAAGATCCATTTACACTGACAGTTTGTGACGTCAGCAAGTCTTTTACACTGACAGCTCGTGACGTCAGCAAGTTATTTACACTGACAACTCGTGACGTCAGAAAGTCATTGACAACAACAGCTCGTGGCGTCAGCAAGTCATTTACACTGATGACTTGTGACGTCAACAGGTCATTTACAATGACAGCTTGTGACATCAGCAGTTCATTTACAATGACGGCTTGTGACATCAGAAAGTCATTTACAATGATGGCTTGTGACATCAGCAAGTCATTTACAATGACGGCTTGTGACATCAGCAAGTCATTTACAATGACGGCTAGTGACATCAGCAAGTCAGTTACAATGACGGCTTGTGACATCAGCAAGTCAGTTACAATGACGGCTTGTGACGTCAGCAAATCATTTACACTGATGGCTTTTTACATCAACAGGCCATTTACAATGACGGCTTGAGACATCAGCAAGTCATTTACAATGATGGCTTGTGACATCAGCAAGTCATTTACAATGACGGCTTGTGACATCAGCAAGTCAGTTACAATGACGACTCGTTACGTCAGCAAGTCATTTACAATGACGGCTTGTGACATCAGCAAGTCAGTTACAATGGCGGCTTGTGACCTCAGCAAGTCATTGACAATGACTAGCTGACGTCAGCAAGTTATTTACACTGATGGCTCGTGACAATAACAGGTCATTTACAATGACGGCTTGTTACATCAGCAAGCCATTTACAATGGCGGTTTGTGACATCAGCAAGTCATTTACAATGACGGCTTGGGACATCACCAAGTCATTTGCAACGGCAACTCGTGACAGAACAAGTCATTTACAATGATGTCTTGTGACATCAGCAAGTCATTTAAAATGACGGCTGGTGACATCAGTAAGTCATTTACAATGACGGCTTGTGATGTCAACAAGGCATTTACAATGACGGCTTGTGAGGTCAACAAGGCATTTACAATGACGGCTTGTGATGTCAACAAGGCATTTACAATGACGGCTTATGATGTCAACAAGTCATTTACAATGACGGCTTGTGATGTCAACAAGGCATTTACAATGACGGCTTGTGATGTCAACAAGGCATTTACAATGACGGCTTGTGATGTCAACAAGGCATTTACAATGACGGCTTGTGATGTCAACAAGGCGTTTACAATGACGGCTTGTGATGTCAACAAGGCATTTACAATGACGGCTTGTGATGTCAACAAGTCATTTACAATGATTGCTTGTGACATCAGCAAGTCATTTAAAATGACGGTTTGTGACATCAGTAAGTCATTTACAATGACAGCTTGTGATGTCAACAAGGCATTTACAATGACGGCTTGTGATGTCAACAAGGCATTTACAATGACGGCTTGTGATGTCAACAAGGCATTTACAATGATGGCATATAACGTCAGCAAGTCATTTACAATATCCGCGTGTGACATCACCAAGCTTACATGCATTGAAAACAGCCATTTATATTATCAGATATGAAAATCTTGGCTATAAATCTTAACGTTCATGGTGAGCACGCTTGAGACTAAAATGATAATTCAATAACAATATCGTCTGCTCGCCCTTACCAGATTTAAACAGGACAATGGCCTTGAGACACGCGAACTCGGCCGGGTCAACCTGAACCGACTTAAAGCGGGTCATCACGTCCTGGAGAATGCGCATGTCCGAGAAGGGGGACACTTTACTGTTGGTCATCAGGGGCATGTGGTCTGGAATGACGAACAGTGGGCACGCCTCCATGGGCATCGACCATTGAATGGCACACAGTAAAAATAGTTCGCTCCAAGCCTCTTCCAGAAGAATCACCTATGGAAAGAGTGACGTAATACAGTCAACAGGAATGGAACTGTTGGGGGCGATAAGATAATACAAGATACGATATGATATTCTAAGATAATATAAGATACGATATGATAAGATAATATAAGATACGATATGATAAGATAATATAAGATACGACATGATATTCTAAGATAATATAAGATACGATATGATATTCTAAGATAATATAAGATACGATATGATAAGATAATACAAGATACGATATGATATTCTAAGATACTATAAGATACGATAATGATAAGATAATATAAGATACTTTTATTGATCTAAATAAATAGAGATAAAAAAAAAATGCATTCATCGTACATATTTTTTTTCAGCATTGAAAATCGTTGTTCCTTTGTTCCTTAAAAATTAGTCTGTAGCAAAACTTTCGTCGAATAATTGTTTAGTTCTTGAGTGTCAGTTTTCATTTTGAACAGAGTCTTGTTTTTTTGGCGGAGTTCTAGTCTTTTGTTTTTCTCCTGGATCATGGACACCTCCCCTTGTTTGAAGCGCGATTTGTTTTTTTGAGTGTTTGTAATATGCCAGAAGAGATCATTTGGAATGAGAGAAACTGAATGGTCCAACGCAAAAGGATACGAGATAAGTGCATCAGTCAAACGAACGTGTCTCAAGACACACGCTGATGATCAGGGTCGTGTGAAAAAAAGGGCGGGGGGAAGTGAGGACTCAAAAGACATAAATACAATTGTATTCACAGCGGTTTTTTATATATACAATTTTTGGGGGGGCAATACTACATCTGGCCCGTGTAATGGCCAAACGCACCCAATACCTTTTTGTTACTCGTGGCTCGGCGGCAACCTCTCACGTCTCGTCTTGTGTACGCCGTTTTCGAAAATTGTATCTTACTCCCAGTGGCGTCACTTGAATTGGTTCCACCCAAATGAGTAAAATCATGGTGTCACCTCATCAAAACCCCTCCGTGGACCTCCTCCGAGTCAGCCTGCTCTGGTGACACCCTGCTCTTATGGTAACTGACTCTGGTGTCCCCCTACTTTGGTGACAGGTGACACCTACCTTGGTGACAGGTGTCAGCCTGCACTGATGACAAGTGACACCCTACACTTGTGACAGGTGATACCCTACACTTGTGACAGGTGATACTCTAATCTTGTGACAGATGTCAGCCTACACTGGTGACAAGTGACACCCTACTCTTGTGACAGGTGTCAGCCTACACTGGTGACAAGTGACACCCTACTCTTGTGACAGGTGTCAGCCTACACTTGTGACAAGTGATTACTCTACTCTTCTATTAATTAGATGTGTTATGAAACCACCTTTATCAAGCTCTTTCAAATATACTTTCATTTGTTTTCCACCCACTGTGAGGGTGTATACCAGAACTGTGTGGGTGTCAACCCCCTGCTTGGGTGTATATCCATGTGAGAGTGTATATCCATGTGAGGGTGTATATCCATGTGAGGGTGTATATCCATGTGAGGGTGTATATCCATGTGAGGGTGTATATCCATGTGAGGGTGTATATCCATGTGAGGGTGTGTATCCATGTGAGGGTGTATATCCATGTGAGGGTGTATATCCATGTGAGGGTGTATATCCATGTGAGGCTGTATCCCAGGTGTAGTCCGCACGCCGCACTCCTAATAACACTACGTCTCAAAACGTCAAGAGATCCAGAGGTTCTCAAAATTACTCACACGGAGGCAATCAAAAAGTTCCTGCCTTTTTCATCAACCAACCTGCCCACATTTGCGAACAAATATTGTCCTCTCAAATAAACATTAAAAAAACAACAAAAAAAAAACCATCAAGTGTGTGTAAAATAAACAACACAGAAATCAATTATTTAGACCCCAAAAAGGTATCAAAATTTCTCTGATTTAAAAGAGCCCCAATCCTGATGTGAGTTATAAAAATGAAATATCCTTTCATCATAATTTGAAGTGGAGATTTTTTTTTAAATATTGTTATTTTTCATAATGAGGATTTCATTTTACTGAATATATTTTGCACTGTTTTTTTATTCTTCATGTGAAGAATTTCAATAAACCATTATGGAATTTAAATTTTAAAAAAGCCATGATTTCATTTCTTTCAAATTAAGGGTAACGTCAAAGTATAAAAACAAATATTATTTTGGGGTAATGGCTAAACATATTCAGCGACCCCTGGATTAAGTAATCGGATTTTCGACGCTCCGGATTATAGACTTGTTAAAGTAATTGAATGATTTAATATCTTTTTATCTACCCGTCACTCATCTCAGTCTCCTTGTAAAAATCCGCCGTTAATCTAAATCATAGAGCCAAAAGAGTTTATGTTCGATGACATTCTGGGGTCTGGATCCACGGGCGGCCTCGTCACAATGCGAGGTATTCAACTGGAACACAACTTAACTGAACACAGTTGTTTTTTTTTTTCGTCTCGCCCCATTGAAATCTGGGTGCCCCTCTGACATCTATTATTTCGATTACATTCTGGCGCCCTGAATCACGCCGCAACACTGCACAACGTGAACTCATCTAACCCTAAACCATTAAGCTCATAAGGGCATCAAACAAACTTGTCTGGTTCACATGGCATGAGCATTTGTGGCATTAACCATTGCTAACCTATGTCATCATGTCAACCCTTAAGCTCATAAGGGCATCCAACAAATTTGTATGGTTCACATGGCATGAGCATTTGTGGCATTAACCATTGCTAACCTATGTCATCATGTCAACCCTTCAGCTCATAAGGGCATCCAACAAATTTGTCTGCTTCACATGGCATGAGCATTTGTGGCATTAACCATTGCTAACCTATGTCATCATGTCAACCCTTAAGCTCATAAGGGCATCCAACAAATTTGTCTGCTTCACATGGCATGAGCATTTGTGGCATTAACCATTGCTAACCTATGTCATCATGTCAACCCTTAAGCTCATAAGGGCATCCAACAAATTTGTCTGCTTCACATGGCATGAGCATTTGTGGCATTAACCATTGCTAACCTATGTCATCATGTCAACCCTAAAGCTCATAAGGGCATCCAACAAACTTGTCTGCTTCACATGGCATGAGCATTTGTGGCATTAACCATTGCTAACCTATGTCATCATGTCAACCCTTAGGCTCATAAGGGCATCCAACAAATTTGTCTGGTTCACATGGCATGAGCATTTGTGGCATTAACCATTGCTAACCTATGTCATCTTGTCAACCCTTAAGCTCATAAGGACATCCAACAAATTTGTCTGCTTCACATGGCATGAGCATTTGTGGCATTAACCATTGCTAACCTATGTCATCATGTCAACCCTTAAGCTCATAAGGGCATCAAACAAACTTGTCTGGTTCACATGGCATGAGCATTTGTGGTATTAACCATTGCTAATCTATGTCATCATGTCAACCCTTAAGCTCATAAGGGCATCAAACAAACTTGTCTGCTTCACATGGCATGAGCATTTGTGGCATTAACCATTGCTAACCTATGTCATCTGAACTGGTTAGTGTTATGTCATCATGTCAACTATTAAGCTCATAAAGGTATTAAAAGGTTTCCTGGTTCACATGTTATGTCATCATTCAGTAAAGGTTTGTAATCACCAAGGGAAACAATCAAGGCAATGTTCAACCATGTCACGAGAGACATGATTAGTTCAGTACGGTTCGAACTTCAAGTGAATTCAGATTTTATTCCACGATGAAATAAATCAAATAATTCCACGTTACTCCCTTTATTGAACTCTTAAACATAACTTCATGTTTATTCTGTCATACACAAGAATATTTAGAAGTTCATCTCTGAGAGAAATAATTTAAAATTTGAAGAAAAAAATGTGTATCTTTCATTTACTTTTCTCTTTTTCTTTTCTTTCTTTCCTCATTAAAATATATATTCATCCCTCACCTGGTCTCTGAAAGGTAAATTGGCAAACGATGGTAAATTTTTGGCCCACTTGACGGCCATAAACAACAGTCTGGCCGAGCACTCGTACAGCGTCTCGTGACCTGGAGGGTAGATGGCACTCTCTGTGTACAACAATCCGGGGTGCTGGGGAGGGTGGTGGCTGGGGGCGTGATGGGGCTCGGACTCCACGCTGGTCACATCGATATTTTCATCACCTAAGGGTGTGGGGAAATGAAATATGCTGGTCAAAGATTGGACTCAAGACTTGAGTCTATCAATATAGAGTATAATATAGTGTTCACTCTTCATCATTACTTACATTATAATGTATAGACACCCCCCCCCCGCTCTACCCCCACCATTTTTTACCTCCGAAGGATTAGGAGAAGCGGTCAATATATTATATCAAACAATCCTTTGGTTGCCTTCAAATGTGGACGGAAAAAAAAAAAAAGAAGACCATCCTATTTATATTATTTTATATTCACCCCCCCCCACCCTTTGCATAAAGGGGGCAATAGGGTCCAACACCACCCCCCCACCCAAAAAACAACAAAAAAAACAACAACAAAAAAAACAACTTTAAGACTAACAGTAACTGTAGAGTTAAAGTACCTGGTTCCTCCTGATCCATTTTACCGTTCCCAGAGTCCCCGGTCATGAGACTGGCCATGAACCTGTGACCTGCCCCTGGGCTGAAGGCAGGGTGAGTGGCACTGACCGTGGCGCTGGACGGCACTAACGGATGCTCGAGCTCATGCTCGATCTGGTCCTCTCTGACCTGGGCCGTGTTCCTGGGCTGTCGCTCGTTCTGGACGGCTGGACGGGACAGGGAAACAACTTGGGTGAGAAGAAGAGAAACAACACTGCAAGATACTGGGCGGGGCGTGTCGAGGGTGTGGGGCGTGTCCTATATGTGGGGCGTGTCCTGGGTGTGGGGCGTGTCCTAGGTGTGGGGCGTGTCCTGGGTGTGGGGGCGTGTCCTAGGTGTGGGGGCGTGTACTAGGTGTGGGGCATGTCCTAGGTGTGGGGCGTTTCCTAGGTGTGGGGGCGTGTCCTAGGTGTTGGGCGTGTCCTGGGCGTGGGGCGTGTCCTAAGTGTGGGGCGTGTCCTAGGTGTGGGGCGTGTCCTAGGTGTGGGGCGTGTCCTAGGTGTAGGGCGTGTCCTATTTGTGAGGCCTGACCTAGGTGCGGGGCGTGTCCTAGGTGTTGGGTGGGACTTATGTGTGACACCCTATTAGGGTGTGGGGATGGATGTGTTGGACTCCCCTAAATATGGGCAGAACAAATGTGTGTGGAGAACAAAACTGGCAGTATGTGGTGCATATGCTTGATAATCAATTGATGGGACAGTGTATTGGGCAGGACGAAGGGTATTCTCCAAGAAGACAAAACGATTACGTGAGATTCGTTTGACACAGGACTAAGGCGCGAAAAAGGACTAAGATATGAGACAGGACTAAGACATGAGACAGAACTAAGTCATAAGAGGGACAAAGACGCGAGAAAGGACTAAGACATGGGACAGGATTAAGCCACGAGACAGGACTAAGACACGAGACAAGACTAGCACCGTCTCACCATCTTTGTTCATGCCCATCTGGATGCACTTCTTGAGTCTGCACGCCTGGCACTGGTTCCTGTGTGCCTTGTCCACCGTGCAGAGACCTGTGCCAGCTTGGCATCTGTGGACAATACGGTTGACATCCATGACAAGTTAAAAACAAGGAAAAATCTTATGACAATTTGGAGGACAAGACATTCAGCCATAGCAGTTAGGACGCAACACGTGCAGCTCAAGGACAGTAAGCGATTTAATCTTACTTCAAGAAGGACCGAACGTGCAAACAGAACCACCCAAATATTTTATCTTGTTAACAGCGGTGTGTCCACCAATGTCAGATCACGTCGAATGTTAGACGTCAAATGTTGGGCGCCAAATGTTGGGTGCGAAATGTTGGGTGCCAAATGTTGGGCGCCAAATGTTGGGTGCCAAATGTTGGACGTCAAATGTTGGACGTCAAAGTCAAATGTTGGTCGTCAAATGTTGGACGCTAAATGGTGGACGTCAAATGTTGGACGCCAAATGTTGGACGTCAAGTGTTGGGGCCAAATGTTGGACGTCAATTGTTGGGCGCTAAGCCTTGGAGGCTAATTATTGGACGATAAGTGTTTGAGGATAATTTTTGACTCTAAATGTTGGACGTTAAAAATTGGATGATAAGTCTTTGACGCTCTTAATTGGACACGAATTGTTGGACGCTTACGGCCAGTTCACATGATTCAATTGTCGTCAAATTTCTTTTAGAGCGCACATTCTTTTTTGTTTTACAATATAATCCTTTTAAAAAGAGATATTTGACGAAAATTTGAGGCAAATTTGACAAAAAATAAAATTGATATTCCCTTATTGGATATTAACATGCGTCATTAGTTTTGCCCATTGGGTAGAACACAAATGTCATTCTTCTCTTAGGTAACTCCTGCTTACTAATTATTTACCATACATCTTAAGTGATCTAATCAGCATCTTTTGTGATGCACTTAAAATTTTGTCCAATCCAAGAAATACTGAGCAATGTTTGTGACGCACTTTAACTGGGGATTGTCTTTAGTCATTTAAGTGACCCACCAGGAAACCCAAAGGCTTCTAGGCCACAGGTTTTCGTGGTTCGTTCACTTAACTAGCGGTTCCGAGCCTGTGGGTGGTGACCCCTTTGCGAGTCGAACGACCCTTACGCAGGGGTCTCCTAAGACCATCGGAAAACAAATATTTATGAGGCAACGAAAATAATTCTATTGGTTTGTTTGGGGGGGGGGGGGGGTGTCAACACAACATGTAGAACGGTATTAAAGGTTGGCGGCATTAGGAAGGGTGAGAACCACTGCGTAACGACCCTTACGCAGGGGTCTCCTAAGACCATCGGAAAACAAATATTTATGAGGCAACGAAAATAATTCTATTGGTTTGTTTGGGGGGGGGGGTTGTCAACACAACATGTAGAACTGTATTAAAGATTGGCGGCATTAGGAAGGTTGAGAACCACTGCGCTCATGATGCTTCGCTTGAGCCTCTAGTGCTGTTAACACTGCTCACAGGTCCCCAGTGATGCTAACACTGCTCACAGGTCCCCAGTGATGCTAACACTGCTCACAGGTCCCCAGTGATGCTAACACTGCTCACAGGTCCCCAGTGATGCTAATAGGGCTCAATAATCTCCAGTGATTCTAATACTGCTTACAGGTCCCCAGTGATGTTAATACTGCTTACAGGTCTCCAGTGATGCTAATACTGCTTACAGGTCTCCAGTGATGTTAATGCTACTCACAGGTCTCCAGTGATTCTAATACTGCTTACAGGTCTCCAGTGATGTTAATGCTACTCACAGGTCTCCAGTGATGCTAATACTGCTCACATGTTTCCGCTCATGCTAACGCTGCCCAAAGGTTTCTAAAGATGCTACACTGTCCAAATCTCTCTAATGATGCTGACACTGCCCGAAGGTCTCTAATGATGCTAACACTGCCGAAAGGTCTCTAATGATGCTAACACTCCTGAAAAATCTCTAATATGCTAACACTGCCCAAAGGTCTTTAATGATGCTAACACTGCCCAAAGGTCTCTAAGGATGCTAACACTGCCCAAAGGTCTCTTATGGTGCTAACACTGCCCAAAGGTCTTTAATGATGCTAACACTGCCCAAAGGTCTTTAATGTTGCTAACACCGCCCAAAGGTCTTTAATGATGCTAACACTGCCCAAAGGTCTTTAATGATGCTAACACTGCCCAAAGGTCTCTAAGGATGCTAACAGTGCCCAAAGGTCTTTAATGTTGCTAACACTGCCCAAAGGTCTTTAATGATGCTAACAGTGCCCAAAGGTCTCTAAGGATGCTAACAGTGCCCAAAGGTCTCTAATGTTGCTAACACTGCCCAAAGGTCTTTAATGATGCTAACACTGCCCAAAGGTCTCTAAGGATGCTAACAGTGCCCAAAGGTCTCTAATGTTGCTAACACTGCCCAAAGGTCTCTTATGATGCTAACAGTGCCCAAAGGTCTTTAAGGATGCTAACAGTGCCCAAAGGTCTCTAAGGATGCTAACAGTGCCCAAAGGTCTTTAAGGATGCTAGCAGTGCCCAAAGGTCTTTAAGGATGCTAACAGTGCCCAAAGGTCTCTAAGGATGCTAACAATTCCCAAAGGTCTTTAATGATGCTAACACTGCCCAAAGGTCTTTAATGATGCTAACAGTGCCCAAAGGTCTTTAAGGATGCTAACAGTGCCCAAAGGTCTTTAAGGATGCTAACAGTGCCCAAAGGTCTTAAAGGATGCTAACAGTGCCCAAAGGTCTCTAAGGATGCTAAAATGATGCTAACAGTGCCCAAAGGTCTTTAAGGATGCTAACAGTGCCCAAAGGTCTTTAAGGATGCTAACAGTGCCCAAAGGTCTTAAAGGATGCTAACAGTGCCCAAAGGTCTCTAAGGATGCTAAAACTACCCAAAGGTCTCTAAGGATGCTAACAGGGCCCAAAGGTCTTTAAGGATGCTAACAGTGCCCAAAGGTCTTTAAGGATGCTAACAGTGCCCAAAGGTCTCTAAGGATGCTAACAGTGCCCAAAGGTCTCTAAGGATGCTAACAGTGCCCAAAGGTCTTTAAGGATGCTAACAGTGCCCAAAGGTCTTAAAGGATGCTAACAGTGCCCAAAGGTCTCTAAGGATGCTAACACTGCCCAAAGGTCTTTAAGGATGCTAACAGTGCCCAAAGGTCTCTAAGGATGCTAACACTGCCCAAAGGTCTCTAAGGATGCTAACAGTGCCCAAAGGTCTTTAAGGATGCTAACAGTGCCCAAAGGTCTTTAAGGATGCTAACAGTGCCCAAAGGTCTCTAAGGATGCTAACAGTGCCCAAAGGTCTTTAAGGATGCTAACAGTGCCCAAAGGTCTTTAAGGATGCTAACAGTGCCCAAAGGTCTTTAAGGATGCTAACAGTGCCCAAAGGTCTCTAAGGATGCTAACACTGCCCAAAGGTCTCTAAGGATGCTAACAGTGCCCAAAGGTCTTTAAGGATGCTAACAGTGCCCAAAGGTCTTTAAGGATGCTAACAGTGCCCAAAGGTCTCTAAGGATGCTAACACTGCCCAAAGGTCTTTAAGGATGCTAACAGTGCCCAAAGGTCTTTAATGTTGCTAACACTGCCCAGACATCGCATCAAATAGTCTAGAAACATTCAGACGTATGCTTATATATTGACGTCGAAATTACCTTTATGTACATATCTGATCAATGTTTAAATTTTGTGACACACAAGACCCATCTAACTTGACGATCCACTTAGTCTCACGACACACCTATCCACACGACCCATCAGTTTACACGAGCAGCCTGTCAATACTACCTACCTCTCCACAAGACCCACGTCTCTATACGACCCACGTGTCAATTATGATCTACCTGTCCACACAACTCACCTCTCCATAATATCCAAGTGTACACACAACACAACTCACCTCTCCATAATATCCACGTGTACACACAACACAACTCACCTCTTCATATTATCCACATGTACACACAACACAACTCACCTCTCCATAATATCCAAGTGTATACACAACACAACTTTCCCTACAACAACCCACCTGCCCATTCGACCCACCTGTAAATAAGTTTTCTCCTGACACTCCGTTTGAAGAATCCACTACATCCGTTACATGCCAGGATCCCATAATGTTTGCCACTGGAAGTGTCTCCACACACAACACACAGTAATCCTGGGGACAAAACCAGGATATGTTAAACGCATAGTGATCCTAGAACATTATGGGGGAAAAGTTCAACACATAATAATCCGGGAGACGAAACCAGGGTTATGTTAAACACATAGTAATCCCGGGGGACATTACCGGGATATGTTAAGCACATAGTAATCCTGGGGACAAAACCATGTACATGTTAAACACATAGTAATCCTAGGACTAAACCAGGGGCATATTAACCACATAGTAATCCTGGGGACATTACCGGGATATGTTAAACACATAGTAATCCTGCATGGGGAAATTCCTGGGAAATGCTAAACTCATCTATAGTCATCCTGGGGACGTTACTGGGATATGTTAAACACAGAGTAATCATGAAGACAATATAGGGGACACGTAAGTGTTGTGTCAGGCACAGTTTTAAAGAGCTTTTTTTTCGTTTTTATTTATTTAAAAAAAAAAAAGTATTTTATTTATAGCAAGCGATGTACAGTAAAGCGTTTCACTGAACATTTTAAGTAAAGGGCATGTTGGTATAACGTTGAAAACACATGATATCATAAATTTACCTGGGGTGTTTTTCTTGATGGGTCCTCCCCCAGGAGAGGGTGATAAACTAGATGTGGAGTCCCCTGGCGACCCGACGGCACAGACGTCCGTGGAGAGGGACGACGACAGGTGGAGTGTTGGACTGGGGCTCTTGGAGGACACGTTTGGCGATCCCTGGTGTGAAGCGCGCGGACTGGGACTGCGAGAGCCTGCAACAATAAACAAATGTCAACAATAAACAAATGTCAACAATAAACAAATATCAACAATAAACAATAAATGTCAACGATAAACAATTGTCAACAATAAACAAATACTCAGTTTGAAGCTTGGCGGTAACCTTAAAAAAAATTTATAGTATTTTATGGTAATAATAGTTGATACCAAATCATGCCCTTCATGTCCCAATGCATACATGTCTAGAGTTTATATTTCTCAAGTCTTGGTTGGCTCGACTAGAGCTTAGGACACAGCAAAACTCCACAACACACTAATTGGGTTGTATTTAAAAAAAAGCAATAGCAACACGTTTAAAAAGACATCTATTTACCACACACACACAGACACACTGACACGGACACACACAGACACACGCGCAAAGTAACCATGGTTACAGATATTAATAATGCTTGAAGCGAAAAGACAGGACAGTATAGATATTATCCCGTCTCTCTCTTCAAGCTTCCACGTACCTTGCTCTACTATCACATTCATTAAATCAATAATTCTAAACTTGTTGACACAATAAAAGAGTGATGTCAGACAGGAGTATCTTGATGGCTTACATCCACCGTGCCATTTAGTTCACTGTCATTAAATTCGTTATGTCATGTATTTCCTTTAAGCTCAATCAGATATCACGCCCTCACCTGATAAGCTACCAGGCTTTTGAAACTGCCATGGGAACGTTCACCAACATAAGCGGCACACTACCCAACCCTCCCAACCCCAGCCTTCTTTTTTTTTTTTTGCACTTGATATTTCCTAGCCAATAGAAATGTGCCGTTAAAGAGTTGCTTGGCCAACACCAACAAATAAAAACCAACAACTGAAACCCCACCCCCCCCCCCCCCCCCCCCCCCCCCCCAACCCCCCCCCCCTCCTAGCCAATAGAAATGTGCCGTTAAAGAGTTGCCTGGCCAACACCAACAAATAAAAACCAACAACTGAAGCCCCTCCCCCCCCCCCACCACGCTCTGATCATAAGCCCCTCCCCTGGTTATAACTATAACGCCCTAATCTGTGGCCTATATTGTACATTATGATAAATCTAGACCTGCTCACACCTCTTCACTTGACCACAAATCCCGAACAGACTGTGTGAGGATTTACCTTCTGCCACTTTGACTTAATTCCCATAGACGACTTGTTACAATCCAGGAAAGTATGTTTACAAGCTTACGCGTGCGTATCGCTCATCTGGATGAAACAGCTGAGTCATGCATCAACTGAAGCGTGACTTTTGATATTTGCTTTCGTCCTCCTTCATCTCATGGAACTCACGACCAACTCCCCCCCCCCCCCCCCCTAACCCCTGATTAAATGCATCTTTTTGTGTCCTTTGGCACCCTTTTTTTACACGGGGCGCACATAGAATACTTTGACACCCTCAACCGATCTCATGACTTCTATTTGGCATTGCGCCCTTTCATTTGTTTTCATCGACCAGTTCAATTAATTTGAGAGTTCTGTATCGAAAGGTCGTGTGCTGGGAAAGATGGCGTTTAAAAAAGAAAAATTATTTGAGGGAGCAATCAGCAAATGACAGGTATAAGTCACCCAACACTGCCCCGCAACAAGTCTCGCCTGATCCCGCACGTCCGCGGAGAGTCTCGAGATTTCCCATCCGGCGCTATGGTCACGTGTCTGGCAGCCATTAATGAAACCAGGAAGGATTAGCCGTCCAGCCAACAAATGTCACCGCCCGTCTGCTAGGTGACTTGATCTCATTTCTTCAACTCACCTTTATTCATACGGAATTTCCGGTGGCGCATGCGTGAACAGTTAATTCAGGAAGCGGCGTCCATTGTGCCGGCTGGCGGTTATTGTGCCGTGCGATTAGGGAGCTGGATGTTCCGCCACATGAACAGCGATGGCCTCAAAGACCCAATCAGACAAATGAGACAAACGCCAGCTTACGGGTCGCCTTCTGACGTCAGCGATACAGATCTGATTTTTTTTTTTTTACCTATTCACTACTTGTGATTTATCTTGGAAGTCCATGTTAAATTCATAGTGGCACTTTTTGTCACATTTATATATGGTATTTTGTCACAGTCAAGGTTGGCACTTTTTGTCACAGTTATAGATGGTATTTTGCCACAGTCAAGGTTGGCACTTTTTGTCACGGCTATAGATGGTATTTTTTGTCACAGTTATAGTTGGTACTTTTTGTCACAGTTATAGATGGTATTTTGTCACAGTCATAGATGGTATTTTGTCACAGTCATAGTTGGTACTTTTTGATTTTGTCACGGTTATAGATGGTATTTTTTGTCACAGTCATGGTTGGTACTTTTTGTCACAGTTATAGATGGTATTTTGTCACAGTTATAGATGGTATTTTGTCACAGTCATAGTTGGTACTTTTTGATTTTGTCACAGTTATAGATGGTATTTTGCCACAGTCATGGTTGGTACTTTTTGTCACAGTTATAGATGGTATTTTGTCACAGTTATAGATGGTATTTTGTCACAGTCATAATTGGTGCTTTTTGTCACAGTTGGCACTTTTTGCAACAGATGTAGAGTTGGTACTTTTTCTCAGTTATAATTTGGGTCACTTTCGTCTCACTGTGTTTGGATAGCATGCGTTGAATTGCAAAAGGCCCATTTCACTATTGCTTACAAACCGAAGAAGAGAAGCGTTCGCCTCTTACAATGCCAGTCAGTCAATAACTACTTGTACTCATAATCCCACGTCCATACACTTCTCATGCCCGTTAGTCGCCACGTTAAATCGACGCCAGGAGGATTGCCACATGATTCTCCCCTGCACAGTACCGGCCTAAAAGTCACCCGTCCAGCGGTCGCGTCCTGCGCTCTCTGACTCTCAGCTCCCGTGAAACATCATTGTTGAGGGGACTGAAAATCAGAACAATAACTTCAAAGCTCGCCATCTGAGCAAATGTTTCCCCCCGCCCCGAGCAGAATTGGGGCCGACTCGAACCCCCGCCCGCGTGTCAGGCGGACCAGATAATTGTCAACAATCGCCCAGAGATCAAGGCATCGTATGTTAGCAAACGAAACACGGCCGCGCGGCCCCGAGGTCCAATAAACGGGAGGTTTGCCCAAAAGATTTTCTAAACACCGATAAAACGAGGTGGCTACATTTATGATATTTGTTCGCGGCGCAAAAAACTCGTGTCTATCATTGGAGCCGGTGATCAGGTCAGAACAAGGGAGGGGTTGGGGGGGGGGAAAGGAGGGTGGTGAGTCCAATCTGGGTTTTGTTCACCCATTCACCCCCGCCGTGCGTTGTTTGTCTCAATGTTTTAAACCAGGGACCCGAGGGAGTCTCATCCACGGCGATCGGATCCTCCTACCGGGGGTTCGTATTCAAAGAATAATGATTATAGTCAAATAAAACTAGCATGAGTGGGGCTTTTTACCCATCTTATTAACGTTATAGTTCAGTGCGGTCGTGGCAAGTGCAGGGGTGGCGGGGGGGGGGGGTGCAGCCCGCACAGGTAGGCACAGGGAGGGGGTCTTTGGCCATTGTTGCTGGCTACGGATTGGTTTGGTATGGTGGAGTCGATCTGGTGAGAGGTGGTGAGTGGTAGGGACGCCAGTGCCACTGGGAGGAATTCCCCAGCGACTGAGTGGCGTTTGTAGGGTACCGTATGTCAGAAGCGTAGCGAGGGTGTTTGTCGCCCGGGGACAAGATTCGCGCCCGGGGACAAGTTCCATTTTGAAGCGCCCCTTTTTTTCTTTTTTTTTAACTCTCAAACCCATTATTTTCATCAATAACATAAAATCAAAGCACATTTCGGCGCCCCTTAATGCAAGAACGGCATGGTCTACTTCACCCCATAGCTTATGTGAGTAGGAAACTGCTGCCTCGCGAGACACGATATTCGGTTATAGAGAAGGAATGTTTAGGGGTCATCTGGACAATCACAAAGTTTTCGAGATACCTTTATGGTTGTCACTTCACAATTGAGACTGACCACAAACCGTTAACGGTTCTACAAACATCAAAGTCCATAAATAACCGGGTTGCAAGATGGGCTTTAACATTGCAGGAATACAATTTCACAATCAGACCAATTCCGGGGGCTGAAAATGTATTAGCTGACGTTCTGAGCCGATTAGTATAGGCTTGCTGTGGGTTATGAAGAAACTGATGTTCTAATAACACACCTACGGGTGTTGATGGATTTATCACCTTCTGCTTCCATGCAAGCGAGGTGGCAAAATTAAAAAATGGGTCAAGTCGCGAGTACCATGAAGTGCCCACTAGATTTTGTCAGAGTTCACCGACACTCCTGAGTCAAGCTCATGTGTGTTATGTTTTGAGGAGGAGGGGAGATCGCAGTTTTGGCTGCTCGTGAGTTTAACTCAGTTATTTTTGAACATGTCACAGTTCACAGAGACTGTGAATAAATTTGACACGTCTAACAATGTACCACGTGTTTTGCTTTTCAACAATGATGGTATTTGTTACAAAGGAGAAGGGACAGCTTGGGAGGAAGCAAAACGGTCTTGGGGTGTAAAGG